CATGTTGAAAAAAGTAGCTAATACAGATTTCCAGGTGATCTTTGCTCCAGCAGTTCTTATGGAACTTAGACAATTCAGGTTCCATGATTAGTGTATGTATCTATACCAGAGACCCGGTGCATGGCTTCATGCACAGGTGGAGTCCTTCAGCGTGGCCTGTGCCTTCTTGCGATCCAGGACCCCTTAAGGTAGGGGTGTCGAACTCAATCAGAGAAGGGGCCAAAATCTAAAATCCAGCCTAAATCGCGGGCCGAATGGTTTACTGAACAGTCATAAACTGTCATTGTGATGGAAACGCAGTGGAGTGCAGTGATGACAGCGAGGTGCGGGCCACATTGCAAGGCCTTGCGGGACCGATTTGGCCTGAGGGCCTTGTGTTTGACACATGTGCCTTAAGGGATGTCAGAGAGCTGGTTTTGGCCCAATCCCCATAAGCCAGGCCACGGGACCCCACCAGTGATGCACATATAAGATCTTTGGTTAATCTCTTCCTTCATTCTCCCTCCCGCTTCCCTCTGAGACTCATTAGTCTGTTCCATGTGTCTGTGCTTGTGGTTTCCACTCCTGTGTTGAGCATCTTCCCCCTGGTGGTCAATGCATGTCATATCTACCAGCCAGTCAGCCAGTCAGCTGGTTGCTTAGGCTTTTATATATGTACTAGAGACCCGGTGCATGAAATTCATGCACGGTGTGTGTGTGTGTGTGTGTGTGTGTGTGTGTGTGTGTGTGTCACTCATCCCAGCCTGCACCCTCTCCAATCGGGGATCCCTTGGGGAATATCTGAATGCCCTGTGGGATTGGGTCTAAACCAGCAGTCTGATATCCCTTTTTCAATCTGGGACCACTGGCTCCTAACTGCTCACCTGCCTGCCTGCCTGATTGCACCTAAGCACCTCTGCCTGCCTGCCTGATCACCCCAACTACCCTCCCCTGCTGACCTGATCACCCCAACTGCCCTTCCCTGCCAGCCTGATCACCCCAAATTGCCTTCCCCTGCTGGCCTGATCTGCCTCGGCCCCTACCACCATGGCTTTGTCTGGAAGGAAGTCAGATGTCTGGAAGATGGCCAGTCTACCTGGTCTAGTTAGCATATTACCCTTTTATTAGTATAAATCGATTTTATAGGATAGGATTGCTTAAATGGGGGGTAGGGCCTTTTTCAGCAGGAGGAGATGCTCCTGGCAGACAAAAATACATAATCCCTATATCTGGACTGATAGCCAGCCATATGCACTATACTGCCAAACTGGTCATTACAAAATTGAACCACTTTCTTACACCTTACACCAAACAGCTGTTGCCCTTAAAACCCCTCCTCAGCCTCCACCTTAGGTTCTGCCTTCATAGTTTACCCAGATTTGGTTCTGATTGGTTGGTTTCTATGCCAGTCAGCGTCTCCAGGCCTATCTCCAGGCCCCTCTCTCTGGGTCTGATCCACAGCTTCTATGGCAGCTGCGGATCAGGCCCTGCCCCTCTCTCTGGGCCTCTCTCTGAGCCTGATCAACAGCCACCTCAACACCAGTGAGGTCCTTAGGCTTCTGGCCCGCCCAGGCTGGAGGCTAATGACCTTGCTGCACCTGCCTCGCCCCACCTAGCCCCTGCTGCCCTGCCCACCTGCCAGCTGCCAGCCGTGCTGTGAGAGATGCCTGTGGGCTGTGGGGGAGGGACCAAGAGGTGCTCCATGCACTTCCTGTGACAGGTCGTCCAGCTGGTTTAGGTTATGACAGCCCCTGGCCTTATATAATATAGATAATAATAAAAGGGTAACATGCTAATTAGACCGGACATCCTTCTGGATGACTTTCCAGATGCAGCCAGGGCTTTGAGGGAAGCCCGGTCCTGGGTGCCTGCCAGTGGCCAGAGGGAAGCCTGGATCCTGGGTTCCAGAGGAAAGCCACTGCTGGCAGCCAGGGGAAAGAAGGCCTGGTGTTTTGTTTGTTTGTTTGTTTTTAATACATTTTATTGATTTTTTACAGAGAGGAAGGAAGAGGGAGAGTTAGAAACATCTATGAGAGAGAAACATCAATCAGCTGCCTCCTGCGCACCCCCCATTGGGGATGTGTCCCGCAACCAAGGCAGATGCCCTTGCCTGGAATCAAACCAAAGACCCTTGAGTTGTCAGGCTGATGCTCTATCCACTGAACCACACCGACTACACTTGCTTTTTATGCATCAGATCTCTAGTATATATATATATATATATTAATATATTGTTATTGATTTCAGAAGAAAGAAAGAGAAAGAGATAGAAACATCAATAATGAGAGAGAATCATCAAATAGCTGCCTTCTGCATGTCCCAGACTAGGGATCAGAGCCCACAACCCTGGCATATGCCCTGACCCAGGAATGAACTGTGACCTCCTATTTCATGTGCTCGTATGTGCTCAGCCACTGAGCCATGCAGGCCAGGCTGATTACTATAAATTGATTGAAGTGCTCAATTCACAGAAGCAGTACTTCATTAGGAAGGGAAAAGGCTTAAGAAAAAGGAAGTTTGTTCAGTTGACAAAGCAGTTGACTCAAGTGTGCATTTTAAATTCATAGCCCCTGCTCAGACCAGCCAGTGCTCACACTGTAAAGAGTTTGTTTTTGAAAACCTTTATAAAGCCTTTCTCTGTTAATTGTGAAAGCCATCTGGTACTTGGCATGTATGAAATGTGCGGTTAGGAGATGCCAAGAGATTCTTCATACAAGCAGATAGCACAATCACAGCTCTGTCTGTTTTTCTGGAATAAAAAACAAGGCTTTGACTAGCTTGAAACGTACGTGAATAAATTAAGCTGATCAATACTTCAGGGACATTACACTTTCAGTAGTCAGCTTGCTCACCTAAATATATTTATAAACGTTTGCATTTGGAGAAGAAAACCTAAAAGGGCAGACACTGGTTCCTTTGATTGCATCTTATTTGTATTTAATACTTCTAAGAAAAACAAGGCCAGTGACCTTCTTTTGGAAAAAAAGTGTTATAAGGGTTCAACAGAGAAGTGTGTTGTGAAATCTCTTTTAATTTGGAAATCCCCACATCAAATAGGCTGTAAGAGTTTTATTACTGTGCGAAGGAGAAGACAGTATGTCTGAGAGGCATTTTCTGAATAATGCCCTTGAAAATGTTTTTACCTCAGCAGACATGTTTCTCACAAACCAAAGTCCAACATCTACATGCTGTTAGTGCTGCCTTGTTCTACCCTCGTCTTGATTCCTGTAGGTTTTCTGTGTGACAACAGTACTTTTGTAATTCCCTTTACTTTCTATATTGTTTTTATTTCATTAAAATTCATAAGATATTCATTAGATAAAGTAATTTTGTTAAGAGCAAATGTTAAGAGCTTAGGCCTTTTCTTTCCCCTCAGTACATAAAAATGTGCTTCTGCCATACAAGTAAATTTCCTCTCTCATTAGACATGAATAGCTTTGGAGAACAAATGCAGTCTGCTTTTGAAGGCCAGCTCTCTTAAAGTGCAGGGGACAATCTCGGTAATAAAAAAAAAAAATGTGTTTCTCGGCTACACAAGCTGTTGAATTTCTTTCCCAATTAGAATTGAATGGTTTTCCAGAACAACAAGGGAGAAGCTTGGCTTCCATTTTGCTGGCACTGGTTTTTCTTATGAGGGACTGCGAGTATCAACCGCCACTAATCTTTTCCCCTCTTTTCCTCTCTCTGAGCAACAGAATACACAGGACTCTGTTTTATGGTAGGCTGAAGTCCTTGGTGAATTCTCCACCCCAGTGAATTCATCTTCTTGGCCAGGACTGGCTCCACAGTGGGGGTTAGACCAACCAGCTAACTGGTAGCTGCTGTTAAAGCGGGAGAGGTCAAAGTTTATAAATACAACAAAAAAGAGTTGAAAATGCCATTGCTCTGTGGGGAGGAAGAGAACCATTGGTGGGAGAGTCTCTCCATGTGTTGCGGCTGGGGTATTGTTAACCCTGTTTTCCTCTGGGCCATTGGCAAAATGGGCAGAAGGGCCTCTCAAAGTGAAATAGTTAAATGCTTGAGGTGCCAAGTAACAAGCGGGGTTTCTAGATTGTAGGAAAGCAGAGGAGGAAATAAAGCCTACTGCTCCGAACATGAGTGGCAGCCAGAGAGACACAGAGTCGCCGGCAGGATAGTTCTGCAAAGCTATGCTAGTATTACTGGATTGTAGGGCAGCGGGTGGAGCGGGGGTAAGAGAAGGTTGTGTGTGTGGGGGAGGGTGCAAGAGTTGGTTCCAACAGGAAGTTTGATGAAGAACTTGACTTGCTAGATAACCAAACAATTCTGGAGATGGTCATTGCCAACTATGTCTTATCCTCAAGTCTTCCCACTAGTGTGTGTGGGAAGTATTCTCTGACCTTCTGAGAGTGCAGTAGCAGCAGACTGTTGAAACAGATTTAAATATTTATTTCCACAAGACCAATACTGTCAGAACATACAAAGCCATTGCCCACAATTATCCAGATTCCGCACAAGAAGTTAGTGTCTACAATATATGCTAACACATGTTAGTTATTTTCATTAATCTCTTCTTTCATTATCTTCCACCAATTTACTTCCTTTGGACTTTGGGGAATAAAAAAAATAGAAAAAATATTGAGTTGTTGCTCTCTCTATCTGCAAAATAAGCCATGGCCACACTCTTTTGCCAATTTGTTAAACCATACTTTATAGTTTGGAATGATTTTTATCTCATTTCATCTTTACTACTGTAAGCTTAGGTGATATGATTATGAGCAACATCCCCCAGTATTATCTACAAGGAAATGAACTCAGATAGCTGGACTAACTTTCCCCAGATCATATGGACTCCAGATCTTCTAGCTCCAAATCCAACCCTTTTTCTCACCCTCCCTCATCTTGAAGGGAGGATTTGCAAGTTCAAGATTTGTTTCTATTTCCTCTTCTTCCTCTCCCCATCCATCCATTTTTCTTTCAAGGAAGAGGTTTTTCCCAAGAAAATGCCAAAAGGATGTCAGGATCTTTACCTTAAAAAAAAAAAAAAAGCTTGATGTTCTTACCATTTTACAGGAAAGTTGAAGTCTAAGTTGTAGTAAGTACTTTTGGAATCAAGAAACTTCCTTCTCCTCCTTGTCCTGAATCTCCAATCCTTCTTTATCTCCTCTGTAATTGCTCTGTCCTCTTCTTTGTTTCCATCCTCATCCTTATTCTCCTTCTCATCATTATCATCATTACCATCATCATTGTCATGTGGTATCAGATTCCTCGTTTTGTTGGCACTTAGCATTCTACTACAAATAATCTATCTTTGAGAAACTCTCTCTGGTTATGATAATGTTCAATTTTAGCGTGCGTTAATGAATGCAATTGTACCAAAATTAAAGTGGCTCATGCAAAATTGAATTGAGAAACAACATAGTAATTTTCTTGGCTTAAACTATTCCTTTCTCTCAAAGTACCCACAATTATGATTGGATGTTTCACTCTCTCTGGGATTAAAAAAATTATTTTGTAGTTAAATACTGTTTCCCTCCAGGCCGCTTCTACAGCTTCTATGGGTATTCTCATAGAAACCAGAAAAGGGAACAAACTGGACCCTCAGGACCAGTTACTATTTTGAGGAAACTGAACATGAAAGCTTTGTACTTGCTCAGAGTCGGCAAATAATTCATTTTGGAATAAAGACTTAGACAAAGAGAGATGAAGACTAAACAGTTACAGATTTTGAAAATAGAACTTTCTCACATCAATTCAGTGGACTATTATCCAAGAGTACTAGTTATTGTAATAATATAGAAAAAAGTTATGGTGGATTCAAAAGAAAAGATTCAATGCAAAATGGTATGTATTTGATGAGGACTATAGCACAGAGAATGCATGGGGTTATTTGATCAGTTGTGTAGGATGATGGGTTCTAATTTCATTGCAGTGTCTTCAGAGAACACAGTCTGCATGGAGCCTAGTGTCTGGTATTTGTTGAGACTTCACTGGCTTTATTAGGTGGGCAATTTTTATAAATATTCTCTATGTGCTTGAAAGGAACATTTTTTACGAAATGCATTTTATATTGGCTGTTTGATTGAGCTTGCTGAGTTAAAATCTTTTAAATCTTCACTAATCTTTGCTGTGCTTGATATATTACATTAAGAGGCATATTGAAATCTCCCACTATGATTGTAGATTTTAAGTTCTATTAATTTCTGTTTCCTCTATTTGGGCCTCTGTTATTAATGTATGTACATGTTTAGGGCCACCATATTTTCTTGATGAACTGTTTTTTTCATCATTAGGTATTTTGTATCTTTAGACCTAGTAATTTTTTGTCTTAATCTATATTTGTCTGATATAGAGATAGTTATACCAATTTTGTTAGTATTTGCTTGACATAACTTTCATTTTTTGCTTTCAGTCTTTTTACAATTTTATATTTTACATGTGTCTGCTGTAAATAAGATACAGCTGAATCTTCTAACTGGCGAATTTGGTCAATTTACATTTCTAAATTACATATAGATCAGGACCATGTTTTTGGTTTTATATTATTGTGCTCTTTTTTAAAATTAATTTTTCTGTTTTTTCGAAATTGTGTGAGTATAAGCTTTTGATTTGATCTTTCTTCTTTCCTAATATAGGCACTAAAAACTGCAGGATGTCCCCTAAACTCTGTTTTAACTGTATACTATACATTTTGATATTTTGTGTTTTCATTTTCATTCAGTTCAAAATATTTATGATAAAGGATTTGTATCCAGAATATATAAGGAACTCATAACTCCATAATGATGAGCCACACAACCCAATGAAAAATGAGCAAAGAATCTTATATGATAAAGAGGTAATATGCAAATTGACCATCACTCCAATACACACGATGGCTGTTCCCATGTGGTCAAAGATGGTTGCGAGGCGCAGTGAGCGGGCAGCATGGTGGCCAGTCTGAGGCAGGCGCTGTGGGTGGTGGGACCCCGCAGACGCTGCCCCGGTCCACGCTATGAGGAAGAAGAGAAGGAGGAAATGGAGGACCAGGACGACGACAAGAAAGAGGATGAAGACGACGAGGTGGTGGGCGAGGGAGGGAACGTTGAGTTTGAAGTTCATTCCATCTCAGACAGCGATTGCGATGGAATTAAGAGATTGCTCAGCAGCTTTTCCTAAAGGCACCTGTAAGCGCTGAAGAGCTAAGGGAGCTCGTAACCCAGCAGCACCGCATCGGGAGTGTGACTAAGCAAACGGGTGTTTCAGAAGACAGTGGCGACGATGTGCACGAAGATGAGGGTTTTGGTTTCATAAGTCTTCTTTTTTTTTTCTTCTTCTTCTTAAATCAATCTTTATTGTTCATATTGTTACAAAGGTTCCTCATTTCTTCCCCCCTCCACCAGGTTCCCATCCCACCCTCCGCCCCCTCCCCATCCCCCATTGTCCTCATCCATAGGTGCAGTTTATGTTCAGTCTCTTCCTCCCTCCCTTTCCCCGATAGTAAATCCCTTTTTAGATAGTAAATCAGTTATTTAGCATTTTCTCATATCAATAATACCACCACATGCCCAATGATACATTTCACACAAAAGACATTTCCAAATAGGTCAACCAGCCTCATCCAGGCCCCACCCAAGGCACTCACAGATCAACACCCCAGCCCTATACTAACTCAACACATCCAGATCTAAGCCTTCATCACTTGATTCAGCAGACCCTCAAGTTCCCACAAAAGTTTCCAGCCATGTCTGAGAGGCAGCCGTGGGGCAGGGACAGGCGAGGAGCGAGCTGTTCCGGGCCTGGCTGCTCCGGGCCTGGCCTCTGTTGCTCTGGTTCGTTCCACAACCAGCTGCTCCGGGTCTGGTCACCGCTGCTCCCGATCTAGTTGCTCTGGACCTGGCTGCTGCTGCTCCGGGCCTGGCCGCTCCCAGCCTGGCAGCCGCTGCTCCAGGCCTGGCCACTCCCAGCCTGGCAGCCGCTGCTCCAGGCCTGGCAGCACCAGACCCGGCTGCTCCGGGCCTGGCCGCTCCCAGCCTGGCAGCCGCTGCTCCAGGCCTGGCCACTCCCAGCCTGGCAGCCGCTGCTCCAGGCCTGGCAGCACCAGACCCGGCTGCTCCGGGCCTGGCTGCTCCCAGCCTGGCAGCTGCTGCTCCAGGCCTGGCTGCTCCAGACCCGGCTGCTCTGGGCCCGGCTGCCCCGGGCCTGGCCGCTCCGAGTCTGGCCACTCCCAGCCTGGATGCTCCGGGCTTGGCTACTGCTGTTCTGGACCTGGCTGCTCCCAACCCGGCTGCTCTGGGCCCGGCTTCTCCGGGCCCGGCCACTCCGGGTCTGGGTGTTCCTAGACTGGCCTCCCTGGGCTTGGCTGCCTCCGCCTCAGGCCTGGCTGCCACTGCCCCAGGTCTGGCTGCTCCAGTGCTGGCTGTTGTTGCTCTGGTTCTGGCTGCTGCTGCTCTGGGGCCTGGCCGTTGTTGCTCCGGGCCCGGTTGCCATTGCTTTGTGCCTGGGCACTCTAGACCTGGCCGCCGCTGTTCCAACATTCTGTCCTTTTTTTTTTAAAACGCATTTATGTTACAATGTTGGCTGGTGAGTTGAGTTCTGACTTAGTCTTTAAATTTTCAAGATCTTCTTTGTATTCTTTCTTCAGTAATTTTACTATCTTTTGCTCTCACTTGATTTCTTCACATTGAGAACTTTGGTTTCTTCCTCCTTGTCCTGGGAGCTCAGCAGGTTGGCCTGTGGCACCCCTTTGTTCTCCGTGGGCTCCCGCGCTGCTCCAGCCTGTTGCCGGGGTCAGCGCTGCCCAGGAAGCAGCCCCTGGCCTTGGCTCTGTTGCCCAGACTCAGTGGTCGATGGCTCGGGGGCACCCCCCACCTGGGGGCCCCGTCGCCCGGCTCCCTGCCGGCGCCCGGCTGGCTGGTGTCCGGCAGGGGCTCCTGCTCCCTGTCGCATTCCTCCAGTCTGGAGCTTTTTTTTTTCTCCTTCCCGCTAGGGGAGTCCAGGATCAGAGTCAACAGACTGTCCTCTGCGTGCAGTGCACGCCACTCTGGGGGCTCCGCTTTTCGCCACTCCACTGGGATTCCGCCTCACAGCCCCATCTCCCCAGGGGTCCCCAGGGTCTGGTCCAGGACTGGGGTTCAGAGCAGTCCGGACTGAGGCTCAGTGCCGCCGGAGGCTTTGTTTTTTCACGCTAGGGTAATCCAGCATCAGAGTCAACATTCAGTCCTCTGCGCACAATGTGCGCGCGACTCCGGGCCCGGGCCCTGCTTTTCTCTGCTCGCTTGGGATTCCGCCTCACAGCCCCGTCTCCCCTGCCGGAGCCTGGGTCCCCAGGGTCTGGCTCATAACTGGGGGGCAGCGCTGCCGGTTCGGGGGTTCAGCCCAGGCTGGGGGTTTTATTTCCTTCCTGCTAGGGAACGCCAGGCAGCACCCAGCCCTCTCCTCCTCTCCGGCTGCGACCTCTCCGGGCGCGTGCGTGTGTGCGCGCAGCATGTCTCCGTACCTTAGGCTTTTTTTCAGCTCCTCTGATTTTCCTTCTGGTTTTCTCTTTCCTTCTTGTTGTAGAATTTTCAGTCAGTCGACTACCTGTAGCTCTGGGCAATGTCCACTCTACATTTTAGTTGTATTCCATTGAAATTGTTGTGTGCTGCTGCGGTTAGGTGTCTACCCGAGCAGCCATCTTGGATCCTCCTCTCATGGATGTTTCTCTCGTAAGTCTTCTCAGTCTAACTGGACGCAAGGGGACCCCTGTGCCGAGCAGATCACAGCGCCAAGAGCTGTGCGAAGAGCAGCGGCGCGGCTGGACCAGCTCCGGAACACCCGCTCCCCTGCGCCCTGAGCGCAGACCGCTGCACCCAGCTCCGCAAAGAGCTGGCGGAGGCACAGGACCAACAGGCCGTGTGGGAAGTGTCACTCTACCTTCTGATCAGCAAGACGTTTGCGGAAAAAACAATTCCAAAAAGAACCAGAGCAGTCAAAAGAAAGATGAGTTAATGTTTGCAAATGCAGAGGAAGAATTTTTCTACGAGAAGGCGGCCCTGAGGTTCAGCTACTCGGTGCAGGAGGAGAGAGACTCGTGTCTGGGCGGCCGGGCCCTTCGATAACGTCCGATGCAGCCGCTGCGCACCGTGATGCTGGTGCGTGACCGGATGGGCGAGGTCATGGCCGCGCTGGAGGAACACCTGTCTGTCTAGCCGCTCCCACCGAGGGGGTGCTTTTGCTTGTGAAACCACAGAACACCCAGGGAGCGTTACTGAAAAACTCAAGACTTTATTTAGATTTTGCTTCTCTACACAAAGTAGGATCCTGTCGCCT